AATAAAATATATTATTATATAAATAAAAATATAATACTATAATTAAATTCTTAATTAAAAAATAAAATACGTAACATAACAACACATTATACATTAAACTTTTAATTTCAATATCGCGTGATGTTATGGATTATATTATTATATTATTTTGAGAACAGTAACTTAACTAGTTGTTCCCTTGTTAACGTCATCACCTACACCTTACCGGCGAAGCCCATTTGCCTACGCTATCGTGGCTATTGAATTACGTAACCTCCATGACGTCACCACCACAGCATCATTGTCCAAATTACCTTTATGCCCATAGTAGCCAATTCATGATTGGGTGATGGCCCAGGCGGCAGGGCAATTTGGTCTTCTTACAGATCCTTAAGCAGTCCCATATTAGGCAGAAGTGGCAAGTGGGGGGGTTGGAATTCCAAAAACGCGGTTCTTCTGTTTTCTAGTTTGGAAAAAAAAAAATGGAAAAAGCAGTTTGAATTTACCGCTCTCTGTTTTCTTCTCCTTCGCTGGAATCGGATATGGAGAATAAGAAAATCGGGAGAGACGGCAACGAGGAAGACGATCAGAAGATGGAGCAGTTCTTCGCGTTGATCAGGAGTTTCCGGGAGGCGAGAAACCGGAGAAGAGAGGAACTGAGAGAGATGGAGGAGATGAAGAAAGAGAAGAAGAAGATGCGGAGGTCCGGCGGCGAAGAGCAATCGAACTGGATTCCGACGTTTCGGCAGGAAGATTTCACGCAGGAGATTGAGTTTCGAAGACCGCCGATCATCTTTGCCAGTTCTTGCAACAAGAAAAAACAACCGGAAGATAATTTGGATCTCAATCTCAGACTCTAGCTGGTAGCTTGTGTGCTATTTTCAGAATTTTACTTTTTGTTCTTTTGTTTTTGTTTTTAAACAGTCACCATGCCAGTAGAAATGATATCTTTATTTTCTGAGTTAATTTCAGATTGAAAAATGATTTAGAGCTCACTTTTATAGATTATGTTTTAGTATAATTTTTTATATTATTTTTTAGTATAATTTTATATATTATTTAAATAATTAATTTTTTATTTATTTAAAATATATGATATTTAATATATTTATTTATCTAATAATATAAAAATTTATATAAAAAACTTTTTAAAAAGTTATCTTTATATCATTTTTCTTTCATATTTTAACTTAAGTTTGTGGGACCGCGTAGCAACCACTAACTCAATAAGTCAAATAATTATTTATTTGATAAAAGCCTAGTCATTTTATAGTCTAAATAGTAAAACAAGATTTTTTGGATAGAGAAATGTTCATAATATTTAAAACTTATTTTTTATTTAAAAATTAATATTTTAAGTTTGATATAATTTAAATTGTAAAATAATTTTTTAATTCAAACATACTATATTTATAATGTTATATGATATTATAAATTTACATCATTATATTATTTAATTAATTTTTTTATTTAAAAATTTATTATAATATCATATATATTTATTTATTTAATATTATATTATACTTATTTAATAGCAGAGTCAGCTCGTAGAGGTCATGGTCCACTGGTCCTTGGAAATTTTGTTAAATAAAACCACATATTTTAGAAAAGTATAAATAATAACCTAGATTTTGGAAAAAAAATAAATTATTTATTTTAGAAATTATTAAAACATATTTATTAATTTTTTTAATTCCATTAAAAATTTTTCTAATAATTAGTATTGTGTCTCTACAACATATTGTTGAAATTTTTTTGCATTTTATATTTTACTTTTCAATTTTTCTTAGATTATATTTAACGAAAAAACAAAATTTTCTTTGACAACTATTTTGAAGATATGTGTGTATATTTAGTTATGAGTGAATGATGAATTTTGATTTTTAGTGCAAAAAAAACTATCTGCCTATATGTAATATAATCTTTATTTTTTAGAATATTTTTTATTACGTAATATGACTATTATAATGCTACTTTATTGTCAACCATCATAATGGTAATTGGTTATTGAAGATCTACGACATATGCGTTGTTTTGTTCCCAAACTAAGGGCTATACTATAAAAATAACTACAATTTGATATGCTAATTTTTTAGAATATCTTACTTTTATTTTTTCAACATAACTTAGTTTTATTGGTTTATATATATTAATATTTTGTGATCATTATTTTCTTAAATTCAAATTTAGATATTGAGTAATAACATAAATTTAAAAAAAATATATATCTCTATATTATTGTCCTTTCATATTCTAACTTAAGTTTGTGGGACCACAAAGCAACCATTAACTCGATAAGTCATATATTTATTTATTTGAGTAGAATCAAGTCGTTTTATAATCTAAATAGTAAAACAAGAATTCTTGGACAAAGAAGTGCCCATAATACTTAAAACTCATTTTTTATTTTAAAATTAATATTTTATAATTTGGTATAATTTAAATTATACAATAGTTTTTTAATTCAAAAATACTATACTTATAATATCATATAATATTATAAATTTGCATTATAATATTATATTATTGATTTTTTTAAGATTTATTATAATATAATATTTATTTATTTAATATTATATTATACTTATTCAATAGCAGAGTCACCCTATAGAGGTCATGGCCCACTGGTCCTTCGAAATTTTGTTAAATAAAACCATATATTTTATAAAAGTATAAATAAT